GCATTCACTTGAAGTAATTCTCTTGTGATAAATAGAGTATAGGGATAAGATGGACAAAGGATGGGCAGTTTGAAGATGGATAAAAAGATTTAATGAATAGTGATAACAAGTCGGGGCAACCGTCTCAATCTGACGCAGCACTCGAAGCCTCAGAGAAGTTTTGCTGGCGAGGTGACGGACAGCCAAGACTGGATTTCTGTGTTGTTGGAGCTGGCCGCGAATGAGGCTCAGATGAGTGCGACGCTGTCACTGTCAGATTAGATAGTGCCGAGTTATGTACGGAAAGACCGGCAGCAGAAGCGGGAGGTACTGTTCGCATCGAGAGCTGTTGATTCGTGGCTGCGGTAGCACTATTTGCGGGCAAGGTAGGTCGTGAACCTGCGGTAGCCACGCCGATGCCACCTTCCAGTCCAGAGGGGCAAATCGGTTGGTCGCATGAAAAAGTGGTGCTGACACAAGTTGGCGCTGCAGCCCCAGCTCCTGTAGCTACTGTGGCAATGTGGCTACGGCCATGGATGGAAGTGATCGGCCGCGGGAACATAGAGCCAGATCCTTGTTCTATCTGAGAAGCAATCACTCGAGACCAACGGATATAATCCTGGTTCAGAAGAGAAAGATAAAATAATTTCGAATATTTAAGAATCGAAACGATTGGGATTAATTCGTTTGAATAACTTCAATTTAGAAAATATGCTTGGAATAACAAGATTTAAACTGAACTAATAATTAAGGTGAATTCATTCATTATCCAAAAAGTGAAATAAAGCCTGTATGCAATATTTCTTTAGAACAAAGTATAAAATAGGCAATTGAGATGATAAGTCATTATATAAATAAAAAATAAGTAATCATTTACGTGTAGGCATCATAGCTTATCTTAAGGGCTCATGCCTTGTTCATAGGAAGTTTCAAGCTGTACGCAAGCCTGTATTATCCGGCGAAAGTTATATGTCAGAATGAGGCAAAGTCAATGAACATGTAAGGCTATAAAATTTAAAGGGGCAAAGTTTTCGAATGGGTTTATTAAGTATAGTTAATTTTTTGGAAGATAAGGAATACGTTACGAATAGACCTTTAAGGCATATAAAGCAGGAGAATACCAAAACGGTAAATACCAATAGTTAAATATGCTAAAATATGTGGTGTACTCTGAAAGGAATAGCAAAGAATGAGATCGTTTATATAAATGACCTCTGCAACGCAATACAACGGCTTCTACGAGCCTCATAGTGATCTTTTTATTTTAAAGAATTCCGGCTAAACTACAGACTCAAAGGGCAGAATAGAAACTGAAATAATAATGATCAAATGCATACAAATACAGAAGGTGTAGTGGTATCATCATACACAATTATTCGAGAAGGTATTGGGTGATTAGCTAACGGAGGAAATTATTTGTAAGACTGATTAACAGTTAAGCTTAAGTGCGAGAGCTTCAGTATGTCTGGATGAATCCCATTTCAAGAAGCGAGGAAGAAAGATTATCTCATCTAGGCTAGGCTAAACTGCCGTTTCGATTTCGCCTAGATCCCATCCGCACCTCTAGCAGGATTCGATACCAAGTCATGGGTATAGTGACGACTTTGCCATTTCAATACATAACTACGGGTGCTGGTGGCTCACAGGCCAATGTAAAATGAGATGTTATCTCACTCTTAATAATGACCCAATGGAAGAGCAAAACATGCATTACAGGCTTGATGATACAAAAACCTCTTTAAGTTGATGACAAATGTGGGCAAAGAAAGTAGTCTGCATTCTATACACAATGAAAGTGAAGCTATTTCCGGATTCCTGAATTAAACTTTAGACAAATCTACTATCTTTGAAGTAAATTATTAGATAAAGGATGGGCGAATTTACTTTCCTATGACACTCCCTTTAATATACTTATAGGGAAAAAATTGCCCTAAATTAGCCTAATTCTTGCATTTAAATTGAGCCAAGGCCATTTCTCTTGCCCTTTAACCAAGTAAACCTAAAAAGGTTGCACCGAAAGAAACGGAGCAAAGGTTTCTTCAGAGATTTCACGGTATGCGTTCTTGCCTTGATAAGGCTTTATACTGAAACTGAGACTAAGTGTTCTGCTTAAATTTGCTTAACTAGTAAAATTAGGCGCGGTAACAGGTAACAGAGATCTGAAGGATAAACAAATCGCGATGGAAACTCGCTCATGGATTAAGAAATTAGGAAAAATCCCTGAAAATCTGTTGTCTCAATATATGATGGCAAAACTGCTCCAATGTACCAGTTACGAAAAGTAAAATGATATTAAAATCCCTTAACTCCGTGTCGTTAGTCCAAGAAACGCAAAAGTAAGGCCAAACCTCTCTGTTGTACAGAATGAAAGTGCAATCTCAAGTCTGTTGCTAAATTGGATATTCATAAAATACAGTCTTATGGAAAATCGTCATCCTGGAAGCAAATAGTGCCGAATAAACTACAATAAATTTGACAGCGAAAAAACTACTAGTGAACAAGTTTCCGGGCTAGACGAAGCGGTATGGCTAAGCCGAACTGAAATTGAAATTATAATTTAGGTATTCAATCATTGCTCACATAAGGAATTAAAAGTATGTGAGAGCAGACCCTGTTTATGCAAGCAGGAGGCAGAGCAGAAAAGAAATTGATGCGATTTAACATCGTGTAAATTAAAACTTCTTAGACATGCTAGGCCGATGGCCAGTTTGATCTCACAGTCCAGCTCAAAGTACACTCCAGGTCAATTGATAAGATCGAGAGGAATGCAACCAACTAAGGATCGATAGTAAACGTGAAAGCTCATTTTCAATGAAGATGTGCATTAGTCATTAACAGGAATTCTGATCAAATCCATTCCTTTTCTAACAAATTACACGAAAATGTAAGGAGGTTAAAGTCATTTATTCCACTAGGTGTAGTGGCTAAAAATCAGTTTATATTGAATATGTGTGAGTGTGCGCGAGTGCTTCCTGAAGAATATATTTGCAAATTGATGCACATGAATGTGTGCAGGTTGCCGCATATGAATGAGCATGTTTTTATGTGTGCACATGAGTGAGAAATAAAGGCACCTGAAAAAGTAATAATCGCGGCGAACTGAAAAAAATAATAAAGTGGAATTTAGATTAAATTACCAGAAGACAAGTTACACATCAGGCAAACTTCTCTTTTTAATATAACGTATGCGAAAGAAAGAAACTCATCAATTAATAGTCGAAACGAGTAAACCACCTGGGCCTAAGGGCGAGCTAAGTGTGCTTGCCCATTTAAAGTTAAATTTGAGCACAGTTTTAACAACGTAAAAGTTCACATACTTTATGCAAACGGGTTATATGAACAAGTTCAAAGAAACCGAGAAGAATCGTTTATTTAAATGAAAAGATGAGGCATGAAGAAAAATTTTGCAAAACTCTTAGCCGGCTAAATCTTTCAGTAGACACCCTGTGC